CTACACCATTTTTGAAGCTTTAAACATGATAAATAAATATAAAAACATATTATAAGGCTATCACAAAATTTCCAATATTAAAACCACATTTTTCCACGCTATTTGAAGGTAGGATTTGATTGTTTAGAGCTTAGGCTCTATACGAACCGCACGGGGAAAACATAGTCTCAAGATTGAACAAAGACTATTGAATTTTGTATTTTGTGCGTAAGAGCTAAGTATCTGAAAAGTTAAAATTCAAATTTTTTCTTAAGATTATAATCATCTAGTTCAAAAAATTTTAGATTCAAAATATCTCCAAGTAGGCTTCTACTCGAGGGAGTAGATGGAAATGTTGCTCCAGCAGGGGGATGGTAAGCAGTATGTGTATGATGGTGGGCAAAGGTGACAATGTAAGATTCTGGCAGCAAAACTGAATTAGAAACCATCCTCTTAAATATGGATTCCCCAATCTCTATACAAAGGTGAACTCCAGGAGTAAAATCGTCAGTGATATGGTGACAGGGAAAGGGTTTAGTGATATGGTGACATGGAAAGGGTTTAATGCAGTTTGGGATATTCAGTGTCCCTATAGAAGGGCAAACAATAATGTGGCAGAGGAGCTAATTCAGTGTTCAATACTGCTACAACAGTATTCTATTTCCCTGATGAGGAGGACAAAGTTGTTTGGGTACCAAATAATAATGGTAAGTTCTATGTAAAGTTTGCTTACAAGTTGTTGTATTATGACAGAATCAGATGGAGGGTTGGCAAAATTTTGGCATTGGCCTTTCCCATTAAAAGTTCATGCCTTCATTTGGTTATTCGCACAAAAGCAACAGTTAGCTGTAGATATGTTGAGAAAGAGAGCTAAGATTTTATTGAATGTATGTTTGTTATGCAAAAAAGATGAGGAATCGGTTGATCATCTTTTCCTCAACTGTGATTATGCTAGGTCAATCTGGTTATGGGTGTTTGATTGGTTGGGGATACTGTTGCTCTTGTGCAGGTAGAAACTTTTATTGATGGATGGAAAATTGAAGAAGTTCGGAAAAAAGGTTTCATTATTTGAAAGTAGTTAATGCCATTGTCGTTTGGAAACTATGGAAGGAAAGAAATAGACGTTTTGAGAATGTGAGTAGATTGAATTGTAAGCTAAATGAAAAAAATCAAGATAACTGTAGCTGAATGGCTAGCTATTATAGAGGAATAGTGGGGTATACTTCAATTAGATTTGATGTATAATATTAAATTGTCGTTACGTAAGAGGAATGTTAAAGGTACTACAATTGGACTGTGGATAATACCAGAGATGGATTAAACTAAATTTTGATGGAAGTTCTATAGGTTACTAGATGGCTAAACAATTTAATAAGCCACTGGTAATTGAAAGAGATTCGCTAATTGTGATAAGATGGATGAAAAAAGAGGTTAAATTTCCAAGGGCTCGGCATGCTTTGGTTAGGGAAGTGGGAGAGGTACGCTGTGATTGGTCTGTTGTCTTTACTCACGTCTATCGATAATTTAATATGGAGGCGGACGGTCTTGCAAAAGGTTTGACGATGGACGAACTCATTGATGTAATTTTGTAGTTTTTGTTCTTTCTTTTTTTTTTTACTTCATGTAAACTGTTAATTAGGTGTGCTTATAGGCAGTATTGGATATTGTAATGAGACCTTGATGATATGAATGGCGACAGTTTCTTTAGAAATAAAAAATAAAAAATGAAAAATAATATTACTATTAGTTAAAATGTGATGGGTTCACTTTATTGACTTTGATCCAATGCTTTAAAATTTGGGCAAGCGTTCTATGCTTCTCCGACAGCATGGAAATGACATCTTTCCCTTTATCTAACTGTCCATTTTGAATGGAAGGCTAAAATTGCCTCAATCACAATATCACATCTCTACACTATTTTATTTTTAATTTTTTTTTCTATAAACTAGTTTGACACCAAATTTTGAACGTCTATTCCTCTATTAAACTCGCACTAGCAAAAAAATATAAAAAAAATATTTTCAATAAAATAAAATAACCAAAATACCTTTAAAAGTTTCAAGAGGTACTTTGATCATTATATTTTATCGAAAAATTATTTTTAATATTTTTTTATAGGTGCGCCCCAATGAGAACATGACACATACCAAATTTTATATTCATACAATTTGTATATAAAAAAAACTAAAAATAAAATACTTTGAGACGTCGGATCTAAGATCAAACGGTGAGTGACTCTCTTGATCAAAATTAGACAGTTGGATGATAAAGAGAAGATAGAACTTTTATGCTGTAGGGGAAGCATAGAAACCTTTCCCTTAAATTTTATCGATTGGAATAAAAAATCGCTGATCTTTGGTTGCAGTTTCGAGTCCCCTCCATCCGAGCACTTATGTATATAATTTTTAATATATTATACTTACATGGGTGAAGTTTGTATACAGTGCCTACCTTATACTATACGAGAAGCCCTTCAATGGCTTGAAATTCTATGTTCAACCCTAATTATAAAATTTTAAATTTAAAAAACGATGTAGATTATAAAAATCTATAAACACTTGAAAATAGACAGTTTAAATAACTTGTTACAAAATGCACAACCTTTTAATACTTCAAATTCTTTTTTTTCTTATACCAAAATGTCATGATGTCAAGATGTTCAATTGAAAGGTTTTTTAACTTTAGAATGCTCTTTTCTATTGGATTTTTTTGAAGCGGGCCTTACTTGTATAGTATAAGGTTGCAATCTTATATATATAAGAAGCATCTACACGACGCTTATGAGCGAAAATGAACGATGTTTTCGTCTATAAACTTATCACTATTCGAAAAAATCGGGCAACGTGGATAAAACAACTGCCACTGACTTAACAAGTATGTGGTGGTACCGTCATGGAAATGCTAGGTCCGTGATGGTCAAAAAATCACATGAAAGCATCACGGACGTTGTGCAGTCCGTTCAATAAACCGCAACAGGCATAACAAGTCTGTGACGGGACAAGAAACCACAATAGACATAGCAAGTCTGTGGTGGGGCGAAACACTACTCATTTTCGCTTGTAGGCTTTTTGGAGTTTTCTATATATATATATATATATATAGGTGTGTTTCTATAAGGCTACAACCTTAAACAATCCAATTAAAGTGCATCTCCAAATTTTATCATAACATGTAATTTTAGTGTAAAGAATTATTAGAAATATCTGAAAAAATATTTTTATATCTAATTATAAAGTTTTAAATTCAAAAAGTGGCTACAATCAAGTAGATCTATAAACATATGAAAATCTTGAAAATGGATAGTCAAGATAATGTGTTGCAAGATGTACTATTTTCGGGACTCGAAATTCGTTTTTTCTTCTATATTCATACATCTAGATGTTGAGATAATCAATTGCAGGGTTTTTCAACATTAAAACAACTTTTTCCTATAGATTTTTGAAGCGCGTCTGTAATTCTACATTTTAAGGTTGCAACCTTATATAAACTTTTTCTTATATATATATACACGCACACACACACACAAAATAAATAAATTAAACGTCACCTTAAAACTCACCAAAAATTGCAGCTTCGACATGTGAAAACCTTCAAATTGCTCATCTTGGCCTTCAACATTACGGTCATAAGAAACAAATTAAGATTTCAAATCCTAAAAATAGTGTATATTGTAACACATTATTTAAATAAAGATAACTCATGGATCTGTGAGATCTCTTGAGCTTCAAATTTCATAGTCGGTATTGGAAATTGATTTAAAGGCATCATGAAGATTTTTGATGCTCGAAGTGCTTTCCGAAAGAGTATTGAGAGTGAGGCTTTACTTTATTTCATAAAGGCTAGGCCTCATAGAAATTGCACCATGTGTGTGTGTGGGATTTACTTTATTTCATAAAGCCTAGGCCTTATAGAAATTGCATCCTGCGCACGCACGTGTATCACATAACGAGTTTTGATCCATCACATCCGCATGCAGCCTCCCATAAAATTTGGAAAACGACCTCTATTTCTGCTAGTGGCAGAACAAAGCAACTTACCAGTTAATGCTCCGTTCAAAACACTGAAACTTGGCCAATAAACTCACCACTACAATTGTGATGGACTTTTTGGGATTCAAAAACAGATTAAGCTATGCTTTCAATCACTGCAAGCACCATTAAAAACACAGAGATTTAGGGCCTACTTGATAAATGAGAAAACAGAAAAAACAAACTGTTTTTCTCAATGACCACATTTTCTCCTGTTTGGGAATGGGGTAAAGCGAGAAAACTTGGCATCCCATATTTCTCCACAGTCCATGCTTCTCTCCAATTTTGAGGAAAACTGCAGTGCACTGATTACTCAGGAAAGGTGGGCGAACGCAGACCCCTCCTCATCCCCCTTTTATTTATGTAATCTCACAATCTCTCTCCCCTCTCAATTTCTATTCTCCTAAGCTCTAGCCCAAGCTTTCTCCGGTTTTCATAGATAGGTTCCTAAACAAAGGTTCACAATCCCCAGCCACGAGTTTTTTACTTCTACTTTTTACTCGGGCTTCCTGCTTCTCTGAGATTCTCCAGGAAAACAGTTTTCTCAGTTGCCAAACACAGCCTTATTTCTCCTCTGGGTAATAACGGCTGGAAAGTACATTAGAAAAAGTTGCCGACAATTTGAAGGCATCAGGCATCAGTTGGTTTCCACCAAAGTACAGACAAAACAGGAATTTATTGTGAGGCAATCATTACCTAAAACGTTTCAAAAAGATACTAGTCTTGTCAATTCAAAAATTTGAAATGTCAGGTTCAAAACAAATTTAAGGACACACGGTACTTGCTGACTATTTGAAGGCATCAGGCATCAGTTGGCTTCCACCAAAGTACACACAAAACAGGAATTTATTGTGAGGCAATCAATCCCTAAAACGTTTCAAAAAGATAATAGTTTTGTCAATTCAAAAATTTGAAATGCTATGTTCAAAACGAATTTAAGGACACGGTACTAATAAACATGGAAGCAAACCATAGAGAGGAGACAAGGCGTACCCAATTATGAAGCTATACATAAACGCACATGGAATAAGCCACTACACAAAAATTACAAGGAAAATCTCTGAACGCAAGAATTGAGATCCTACATAAATCACATAGAAAGGCACTGTGAAACGCTCTATGTATCAGAGAGAAACACCCCCCTAGTATTTCAATAATATATAACAGAAGATAGAGAATGGAGTGAGTCATGCATTTGACATTATTCTGAGAAACCAAGTAGCATGATACCTAAGTATATAATGAAGTAAGAATCCTGAACCTGTACATGCTCCAACTCCAACGTTTTATCATACAGATCTCCTGCACTTCACAAATCCATTTTGTCAAAGAGGTCCTGTTCTCAGAATGGACATATAAGAAATTAAGTTCGGGTCCTTTATATTCCACTTAAGAACTGCTTGGATGGGGCATTAGCATATAATACTAGACAATCAAGCATAATGTAAGAGTATTAGGAAATCAAGTACCAGCTTGACAATCAGAGATTGGACGTTGATTCTTTGATCTCCTCTAAACTGATAGCCTACATCAATAAGAAACCAAAGCCTCATGTTAATGTCAAACACATGTAAATGAACATGCACAAGCACGCACAGAATTTTGGGTTGCTTTTTTTCGTTTTTGGGGAGGGTTGGGGTTTGGGGGGTTTGGCAAGTGGTGGAGGAAGAGAGTTGGGCCTTTGAGCAGATTTTGCGAGGTTCCACATATTCCTTTTCTTTTCATGCAGAATGGTGCATTCAATTTGAAAAATTGAAGCGTCGAGAAAATCATCATATTTTCAAGTTACCTTCTCAAATGATGCAGTGAACAACAAAATGCATCTCATTTTTACTAAATATAATCCATGTGAATGTTTCTATGTTTTATGGTGCATGCTGCATATAGCATGGTCCCGTGGAACAGCCCTCTACAGATTTTGTTCTTCCCCAAGCACCTAGCTAGCAGGACTGCTTTTCATCTGAGAATTTGCATACCATCCTTTATTTGCCTTGCGAACAATTTGTAAAAAATAGAAAAGGAAAAAAAACAAGAAAACTCTTGGAGACCTAGATCATAGCCATAAATTGGACAGTCTACAAACAAATTTTTTGGGGGAGGGGATTGAATTTGCAGCAGTTTTTGAGCTTCAAATCAATTTTTCTATTTTCTAATTTCCATTTTATTATATAATTTGATCTTATAGATGACAAAATATCTTTTGGGGTTTCAGGACCAAACATATTTCGTAACTGTTGTGTTTTGGGTAGTGGGCAAGTGTACAAGGTGATCTTATGGACCACCAAATCTTTTTATTTCAATACTAAGAACAGTGTTAAATAGAGAGGAAAAAATATGTTTTTTAATATATCATTGTAAGAAGAAACTTTCTTCTGAGCAAGAAGGGGCAATTTCATTAATGCAGATCATTGCACTTATGTTCCAATACACTTTCCCCAGTAGTTAAATATTGTTCCATCCACATGTAGGCAAGAAAAGCAATTAAAAATTACAGCACGTTCTGATGGTCACATTACAGTACGATGTCCATAACAATAGACACCAAACTCACCCTCTGATATCAACGCCAAGAACAACCTACAGTATTCCTATGAGTGTGCAAGCCTAAGTTTGATGGTTATGATACCAAATTCCATCCCAAAACAGCAAAGTGGAAAACTTACCGTAAAGAAAAAGTAGTAGTCGAGAGTTCAAGCGTAAGTTCTAATGGGTATATTTCATCTCGTACAACAATACTCGGTTCAAGGTAGGAAAAGAAGCATATGGAGCATGTTAAAGAGGTGCACACATGGTACTGGGACCACATCAAGCAAGCATCAGAGTCACTGACAAAAATTCAGTCAGAAAGACAAAAATTCAGTCAGAAAGGCCACGAAACTGACTTTAGTGTCATTTAGATAATCCTTGTTAGAGTAAATCCCATTCTATACAATTCTATTTGCTTGCAAGTTGCATCTCCAGGAGTCCAGCTTCCGTAACATGTACCCTTGCTCCCCATTGCAGCTTTTTAGGGCAAGTAAAACAGGTGAAATACATATGCCCCCTATTCACTAATAAATGCAAGTTCCACTAACTAGGAAAATCCATCTTCCAGAATATTTGTTTTTGGTTTCTCACTCCCCTAAAGCAGAGCCTAAAAATCAGTGAACCAGCTAGGAATGGCTTGACCTGACGTGCCATGGACTTTGACTGTGTCTTGGCTGAGCCACAACAGACACAGTGGAGGCTCTATTTCTTTACATGTTTCTGTACTAGTTTTTTAAGACTCCGATGAGTCTTATTGCATTGACTCATCTCTGAACTGCATTCAAAGCAAGAGGAATGTTTTGAACTTTATTGGAATCAGGGGGAACAAAGGTGAAATAGAGGATCGTCAGTATCCTCTTGTGATTATCTCATGGATTTCATGCTTTCTTTATTGCTCACTTTTGATTATGATTTGACCAAAGGAGTAGTTGTCATGTCAGATTTCTGGAAAACCATGATCAACCCTCCATATTTGTGGCATAAAATTTGAGAATTATTGGCTACATTAAAGCATTGTTTAGATACTTCTCTGTGAGAGCTAAGACACTCAAATCAACTTGGCTCGTCTACTACCCACATTTTCAAGACACATCATAGTCTCATCGGTTCCCAGTGTTAATAATCTTCTCTCTAGAAGTCGTACCGAGTCCTCACTAGTCAACATCGATATGGATGAGGCACTGTGGGATAAGGCACAGTCCCAAGCTGAGTCCAAGTTTTTATACTTTCGAAGATATCTCAGTCTCCAGAATTACTTCAACCTCTATTTTCCATTTATCAAACCCTTTATCATAATATCACTGCTCCAAATTCCCAACACAAGACTTGTTCCATCTGCAATGACTTACTCCTAAAGCAAACAAATAAACAAACCTCCATGACCAATTAGTGTTATAACATCCTCACAGGCAACCCCTATTCCCCCATAGGTCCAACAATTTAATAGCACTTTCACTGGTTGTATTGAAGAATAGAAGATCTGCAACAATTACATTTTTTGAAAAATAGTTATTTGTTTCCTAGGTGACAAAATGAGACTGTATGAAGGAACTAGTGGACGCATACTATTCCACAGTCCTTGTATCCTATTTGACTGTTGATCTGGCTAAAATTTGACTTTGGTATTTGTAGCTATTTCTGCAAGACCATCATGGCAAAACTCTTATCAAACATCCATGAACTGATCTTTCAGATATTTGTTTCTCATATTTCATCCAGGACATTTTGAAAGTGAAACAAGTAATACTGAAAACAATTTCTAAAAGGTCAAACTTATTGTGCTTGAGTTCCAAATGCCTCACACCATGACCATTTGGTGCTCCAAACTTTGCTCAAAACAACAAATAGAACACTGATAAACATGACTATGAGTCAGCATCAATGGAAAGTGCGTGTTTCAGCTGCTGCAAGAAGCCCTTCCCTTCACAGCTTAAGGAATCGCTTTCGGCAGCCCTTATCTCTTTTGACTGATTTCAGAAGGAAAACTATTCAACATTGTCATTTGGAAGCTCAGTTACATCCCTTGAGAGGCTTTTGAGCCAATCAAGTATCTAATTTTAAATTATCTTTAGTGTCCATGGATGACATTTAAATGCATGTGTTGTACCAATTTGTAAAGTAAGAACGAAAGAATACATATTCTACCAATCCATAAGTTTAGTCTCCCTGAGGCAGACCTGAAGACAGAGTAAAAACAAGAAAATACCTGTTCGCCACCAGCAAAATCGTTGTCAGAGGTGAGGAAAAGCATACAGTGGCACTCCTTCCTGCCAATAGTCATATCATTATATAGAACTTTAATAGCACAAGGGATGCCAATTTAGTATGAGTGATAGTATACTATGGTGCGCTTTGAAATGTACATCTCCTGAAGCAAGCTTGAAAGGATCAATTCATCTCAAGTGTCAATGTCAACAATGAACGGTCAATGGGGCATGTAGCATACCATTTATATGCTGCATGTTCACAGATTATTTTACCATAATATAATCTTATTGTGATTTTCTAATACCGAATGATATGGAAGGGGAAAAATACAGAAGGGAGGGTTCTATCTTACTTCATAAATAGACAATTGAGAAACTTGTAACTGTAAGTTACATACAGAACACCTCTAATTTGACAGACTTTCTGCAACAATTCTTAAGAAAACGCAATCAAAAGCATAGAACAACAGTGTGGATTAGCTAAAAACACAATCAGTTAACAGAGATCAAAATGAAAACGATGGAACTCTCAACAACTGCAAATAGTATATTGGAGGAAAAGGTGCATTAAGAACCCATTCTCCTATCAAAACTCTCCACTTCAAGTTCCACAGTCAGTCACATTCGAAAGGATACAAATGAAGCCTTGATAAGGAAGTGAACAAACACATGCAATGCAAAGACCCAACAAAAAGCATTCATTTAATAAAAAATCAAAAGGTTATGTACATGATCTTGGGAACCAATTAAATGCTTATGAAACCTCAGGAAAAAGACTAAGACTCAATCACTCAACTTGTTTAATCATTTACAAGCAAACCAAACCAGTACCACATTGCAAAAAAACTCATCAAATGATTGCAATAAACCAAGAAAGAACTAACTAGAAATACCCAATCGATTAAGTCCAAACATTCTTGGAAAGACCAAAGGTTCTCAGAAGAAATTTCCTTAACACCCTCATTCAAAACAGAGCATAACTGAATACATAGTGTAAAAGTACAGTTAATGATTTGCTTAACGATATAAGAAAACTGAGTTCACCAACTTCATCCTATCTTGGTAGAAATGAGACACATGCTATTGCTGATAACTGCCTAGTCAATTCTTGAGAAGTTGAAAACCGTAAAACTATTCCAGTACAAGAAAATGACATAATGGTGCTTTTTAATCTGTCACTAACTCTTTTTCTCTCTCTCTCTCTCTCTCTCTATATATATATATATATATATATATATATATATATATA